CCGGCAGTGCGGGGGAAGCTGCTGCTGCACCGCGGGGTTTGCACTGCGCCGCTCCCAGTGCAGCGGGGTTTGCACTGCACCGCTTCTAGTGCAGCGGGGGTTGCACTGCGCCGCTCCCAGTGCAGCCTGGGTTGCACTGCCCGCGCCCCCGGAGCCCCGCAGCCCCTGGCAGCACTGCGGCTGCGGGCTCAGGGGAGCGGGAGGGCAGGGGCGCGGGTGGCATGAAGCCCCCCCTTTGCCCTCCGTGTCAGCCCTGCCAGGGAAGAGGCTGTTTCAGTGCCTGGGTGAATCCCTGCTTTAGGTCATGGAGCATCCTCAGAAGAGGCAAGTTTGCCTCCTGGGGGGGGTTCTAAAATAACCCTTCTCGCAAAGCAGTTAAAAAAAAAAAAAAAAAAAAAAAAGGATTAAAAAAATGCAGCGTGACCCCATTGAAGGGCATGCGGGATGCGCCTCAGGGCCGGAGGGTTTGGACTGGAAGCCCCCACGGCTGCATCCTCCGGCGCCGGCAGCCGCTTGGTTGCAGAATGATGAAATCTCTCTTTTAAGTTACACGCCAAAGATGGCTGCTGTGTTGAGGAGCCAGCCCCAGCATCAGGCGCCATCCGTTCCACCCGGGGACGGTGGCTTTTGTTGCTAGGCTGCATGCGGGGCTGACAGGTGAAGGGGGGAAAAGAGGGCCGCGCCAGGTTGCTGCGATGTGATGCTGCTTCCAGCCTTGGATGGGGTCGATGACTGCAGCTGGAAAAGTGGGCAAAGCTTGCTGGTGGAAATGGATGATGCTGATAAAAGCTGCATGGGGGGAGAGAAGAAAACTTGGCAACCAGCTTATTTTCTCTCTCTCTGTGTCTCACTACTCTTGCCTCCTGGGCATCAGCTGTGTGGCTTCTTCTTTCCAAGTGTGGCCAGTTTGTCACCCTTTCATTACATGGGTCCAATACACCAAGTTTCTCATTGGCCTCCCCTAGGCGGGAAGGCTACAGGGAAAGGGGGCAACAGATTCCTTGGGACAAATATGAAAAAAACAGGGATGGGAGTGCTGGTCTAAGGTTCAAAAGAAGAGTGCCAAGCAGAGACACTGAGCAGAGTTCACAGGACAGCGTCCACTGGCCCTCAAATGAGTCCAAGGAGCCAGCGGATACTGCCCAGTGACTCCTTTGCAAGTGGGGAGGCCAGCTCGGTGCCGACGAGAATCGTTGTTGCTGAAAGACACAAATCTGAAATGTGCTCTGTGGGCATGAGGTAAAGATGCTGCATTTCCCCAAAAGATTGCACCTTTATAGGACTTAAAAAATGAGTGCAAAGGAGTTTAACCTCTGAACAGGTCAAAAACATTAGCTATATGAGTCTTCCCACCACCGTGCTGCCAGCGTGCCTTCAAGTAATGGGGTCAGCTTTTACACGAGAACGCGGAGAAGCTGGGGACTGAACGCCTGAGAACATCGAAAGGCGGCTCTGGACATTTGGAGATCTATTGGAGATGGAAGCGACAACCCGAAAAAGGCCAGTGTAGTTATTTCACAACTAAGCTGCTGAGAACGGGTAGCAAATTTTGGTAAGAAATTGAATGGGTAGTAAGTTTTTGCTCTCAAGTTGTTCTGTGTATCAGCAGTTTTGAGGACACGGGCGCAGATGGTGAAGTGCTTTCCTTTTAGCATCATGGAAAAGTTGGTTTTAATATCAGCTCCCCAGGCTGCCCCCTTAGTGCCCTTATCACTCGGCTCCGCTCTTTGCAAAGTAGCCCAGCTTCAGGAAGAGGGTGGGTGCCCTGCCCCAGCGCAGCAGAGTCTGATGTTTAAAACTATTTTTCTTGGAGATACAGGTTTGAACCCCTTAGGCCAGGGCTGGGCAAAATGTGGCCCACAGGCCGGATGCAGCCCGCCAAGCCATTCTATTTGGCCCGAAGGGCCCCTAAAATATTTAGAAAATTAATATTAATCTAACCTGGGCTGCCTGTCATGCGGCCCTTGATGGCTTGCCAAAACTCAGTAAGCGGCCCTCTGCCCAAAATAATTGCCCGCCCCTGCCTTAGGCGGGGGGGAGGCTAAAACCATGAGCAGGGACCTACGTAAATCACAGCAGGACAATGAGTTTTTCCTAGCGCATAGCCAATTTCCCAGGCATTTTGCTGTGGCCCCACCCCCTTATGCTGATTGGAAGAGGCCCCACCCCTCAGCACTGATTGGCAGAGAGGCCAACAGGAACGAGGGGGCGGCTGTCATCTTGATTGCTGGCTGCCCTTCATGTACCCCGCCTCTCGGCCCCAATGGGCAGAGGCCCTGGCGGAGGAAGGAGGGACGAAGGGACAGCCACCATCTCAATTTGTGCTATCCCAGCGCCTTCCCCTCTGGCAGCGAGGACCGCTGGCTCCCACTGGGGGGGCCAGCATTTTATTTTTATTAAGTTATTTTTAATGACTGATTTCACGCTTTCTGCGAAACCACAAATTACCTAGGTCCCTAATCATAAGATGTAGCTACTGAGCTATCTTTCAAATGAGGGGTAGAGGGAAGTGCTAGCTTTTGGTCTGGCTATGTTTTAAAAGAGTCGTTTTCAACTTCCTTAAGCACAAGGTACCTCTTGGAAAATGCCAGTTCTTGGTTTTGACTACAGAAAAATAACGGCGCAATTTTTATGGTGCAAACAATTGAGAAGGACTACTCCCATCCCTCAGCCTCTACTGGTGTCAGTCTGACCCTTTTGCTCTCCCATGGGGCCTGCTGTTCTGGAGCCAGCACCTGAGGCTCCAAACTCACCCAGAGCTGAGAGCAGTGAGATACGTGCAGGCCAAAAAACCAGGGGCAGTTATTCCTCTATCTGCTAGCAAAGCTAGGGATACTTGTATAAGGAGCCCTGGTAGAAGTGGAAACCTGGCCTCGCTGATGCCAGTGCAGGGTCCTGTTCTGGAGTTGCTGCTGCCTTGCTAATGCTTTTGTCTGTAGATTTGTATCCACTCTCAGGATGCCTTAAAGCAATCCTTTTCTGTTGTTTAGTAGTATTGGTAATGTCCCCCACACCGTCATACCAGTAACTGAGGGTAATACACCCACCAATACTTTCTTACCTCAGGTTGTGTTTGGGTCACTACTGCGAGGAAAAAGAAATTTTATTTTTAATGAAAGCTCAGATTCTTTCATACTTGATAGCACTCACCTGGTGAAGAGTCCTACTTATTCTCTCCGACTGGACTTACCAGGTCTTTGAAATAAACTTGGAGGTACTCTCATTTATGTTAGAAAAATGGAATATAAAAGCATATTAAATATTAGGAGTCCAATACTGGTAGGAAAGCTGGATTCATTTTGTGTCCTGATGCATGAATAATTGCTATGGCACTATAGGCACTATAATATGGAAATAAGGCACTATAATGTGGAAATATGGTGCACAATAATGTGCTAATATACTGTGTTCCCTTAACAAATGTTTCACAGAATGGCTCATGATCCTGTATCCATCTGAATTTTGTTACAATAACATAGCAGTCATCACCAATAGGAATGAATGATTTTTTTTTTTTTTTTTTTTTTTTTTACTAACAAGAACAAATTAAATTTTTCTTATACCTGTAAGTTTAGTCACAGCTATGTTAGTGCTTTTTATGAGTAATTTAACATAAAGTTACCAAGTGGTGGGCCCTTCAAATGCATACAATATCTGAGTAATTAAGTCATATATAGTTGGTTAATACATATAATTTTAAAAAATCTCATATAATTACTGTTCCGTTTTCATTGAATAGTCAAACTAATGTCAGTGAAGGGCTCTGTAGCTACAGAACATTCAATTTTGCTTTCCACAGAAGAAGTGAACTTTGAAATGTTACAGTTGAAAGTTAAATTCCTGATAACTCCTGAATCTGCAATTTGTAAACTCGTGGCAGCTAATACTGCTGTTAACCTTTAAACAAAGTTTAAAGTCTTAAGTCTATTACTACTGCTGAGTCTGTGGCAAAATTAAAAGCAGTCTTTGTCTAAAAATTGTTGTTCAGACTTTGTTCTGATTTTTTTTTTTTTTTACTTAATTTTTCAAAGTAATGACACACAGTTGCTTTAAGTAAATTAATTTTGTCCTCTACTCCCCATTAGGTTTTGATCTAATTGGAGGAAAGGAAGGCAAACTTGTGTGTTTGGCAGTACAGCTTTCAGGCCAGTTCAGAAATGGTCGTATGGCTGAAACCAGTGAAAAAGTTAATTGGTAAAAACTTTACAAAGTTTTGCTTGCTAACCATGTTTGTTTCTACATTTATGTCAAAGGCAAGCATTTAACTGTTACATAAATATTTTTGTTTGTCAGCCTTCCCTAAAATACGAGTCTCCTTGAATTGTGAAAGTCATTTCAAGTTGACCTTTCAGTGTAAATTATGTTAGTTGCTGATAAGTCTGCATAATTAGTTTTGTTTTTCAGCCTCTTGCTAATGAGTTGTGTCAAAGGGAATGCATTTTAATTCATTCCAGATGTTGAAGCCTCAGTGATTTAAAATCTGTTGGCACCGTTGATTCAAGGTGCTAATCTATTAAGTAGGCGATTCCACTCTGCAAGCCGTTGTTGCGTAATGATACCTATGGAAAAAAATCAAAGGTTCCAAAAAAGCAGTTAATTATTTAGTAGTTATTAAAGTCTGACTTCATCAGATAAATATTTTCATGACAAATTTGTGCATTTAGCTCCATCTTTAAAAACGTTTTTCACTTGTTAGAAATCAGATCAATTTGTATTAATTGTGGACCAAAACATCCTTTAGTTTTCATCTCTTATGATTTTTATCCTCAGTGGTACCTGAGTCAGCGCTGTCCCACTGGCAGGTCTGGATGGATTGCTCCTGCACCCTCAATAGGCTTCTTTAAATACAGCCAGCTCTTCTGCACTCCTCTCCACCTCAGACTGGTCTCCCAGGGGATCCTGGCCATCTGTTCCCTGGGGGAGTCAAAGTCCACTTTTCTGAAGTCCAGGGTCCATACTCTACTGCTTTCCTTTCTTCCTTTTGTCAGGATCTTGAACTCGATTATCTTGTGGTCACTGCTGCCCAAATTGCCATCCACTTCTACATCCCACACCAATTCTTTGTTTGTGAGTAGCAGGTCAAGAAAAGCATGGCTTCTAGTTGGGTTTTTGTAACACTTGCACCAAGAAGTTGTCCCCCAGCACTCTCCACAAACTTCCAGGATTTTCTGTACACTGCTGTATTGCCCTCCCAGCAAATGTCAGGATGAGTGATGTCCCCCATGAGAACCAGGGCCTGTGATCTGGAAATTTCAGCTAGTTGTCTGAAGAAAGCCTCATCTACCTCATCTTCCTGGTCTGGTGGTCTAGAGCACCCACCCACCACAACATCACCCTTGTTGCTCTCACCTCTAACCTGAATCCAGGCCCATGTCCAGTTTCATACTGGAGCTCTGAGCAGTCATACTGCTCAATTAGTCCTCCTCTTGTCCCCTGCCTGTCCTTCCTGAACAGTTTGTACCCATCCATGACAGTGCTCCAGTCATGCAAGTGCCCACCACATCTCTGTTATTCCAACCATGTCATAGCTCTGTGACTGTATGAAGACCAGTTCTTCCTGCTTGTTTTCTAGGCTTTGTGTGTTTGTGTATCATAGAAAGTTAGAGGTAGAAGGGACCTCAGGAGGTCATCTAGTCCAACCCCTGCTCAAAGCAGGACCATCCCCAACTAGATCAATCCCGCTAAAGCTTTGTCTAACCAGGTTTTGAAAACCTCCAAGGATGGAGCTTCCTCCACCTCTCTGGGTAACCTGTTGCAGTGCTTTACTACCCTCCTAGTGTGAAAAATTCTTCCTGATATCGGACCTAAACTTCCCTTGCTACAACTTGAGCTCATTGCTCCTTGTTCTGTCATCCGCCATCACTGAGAACAGTCCAGCTTCATCTTCCAAGCCACCTTCAGGTAGTTGAAGGCTGCTATTAAGTTCCCTCTGAGTCTCCTCTTCTCTAGACTAAATAAGCCCAGTTCCCTCAGTCCTTCCTCAAATTGATGTTCCCAGCCCCCTCACCATTTTTGTTGCCATCCACTGCACTCTCTCCAATCTGGCCACATCCTTTCTGTACTGGAGGGCCCAAAACTGAACAAGTACTCCAGATGTAGCTTCACCAATGTTGAATAGAGGGGAATAATCACTTCCCTTTACCTACTGGCAACACACCTACCAATGCAGCCCAGTATGCTGTTAGCCGTGAAGGGCAACACAGGCAAACTGCTGGCTCATAAATAGTCATATTCAGCTT